TAGAGGAAGGAGAAGAATTTCAGGTTAATGGCATTGACCAGATCTTAAACAGGGTTGTAGAAGAGAATTCCCAGAAATTAAGGAATGACACCCGGGAAAGACATCCCCATACACATAGAACACCAAATAGACAGGATTAGAAAAGAAACTCCCCAGGACTTATCATAGTAAAAACACTAAATGTACAGAACAAAGAGAGAATACTGAAGGAGGAGGGGATCCAATTCTATATCAACATCTATTTTGATTCTTCGGACACCCAGAAGTATATATCTTAATCCTTCCTGGATTTGGCATCATCTCACATGTCGTGACATACTATTCTGGAAAAAAAGAACCATTTGGATATATAGGAATAGTTTGAGCCATAATATCAATCGGATTCCTGGGCTTTATTGTATGAGCCCACCATATATTTACAGTAGGACTAGACGTGGATACCCGAGCCTATTTCACTTCAGCAACAATAATCATTGCAATCCCAACAGGAGTAAAAGTCTTTAGTTGATTAGCTACCCTCCACGGAGGTAATATTAAATGATCACCAGCTATACTCTGAGCCCTAGGGTTTATCTTCTTATTCACAATTGGGGGTTTAACAGGAATTGTATTATCAAATTCATCACTGGACATTGTACTCCATGACACCTACTACGTAGTAGCACACTTCCACTACGTACTATCCATAGGAGCAGTATTCGCAATTATAGCTGGATTTATCCACTGATTTCCATTATTCACAGGATTTTCACTAAGCGAAACATGAGCAAAAATCCACTTCGCAGTAATATTACAGTCCTTAAAATATATGCATCAAACTCTGGTACACCCAAATTCATAAAAACACCACCTTTAAGACACAGATTAACCCCAACTCAGTTAATAGTAGGGGACTTCAATACCCTACAGTCTCCATTAGACAGGTCAACTGGACAAAGAATAAACAGAGAGACGTCTGAATTAAATGATACCATACACCAAATGGACCTAACAGACATCTTTCGAATATTCCACCCAAGCACCAAAGAATAAATACACTTTCTACTCAGCATCCCATGGAACTTTTTCAAAAACTGACCACATACTGGACCACAAAATAAACCTCAGCAAATACGAAAAAAGTGAAATAATTCCATGCATTCCATTGAACCACAATGCAATAAAGCTCAAAATCAACACTGAACAAAGCCCAAGTAACTATACAAACTCATGGCCATTAAACAACACACTCCTAAACAATGAGTGGGTAAAAGGAGAAATTTAGAAAGAAATAAAAGAATTCCTGGAATTCAATGAAAAGGACAGCACAACACAATACAACCTCTGGGACCAGTTAACCAAAAGAAAGAAAGAGCAAATCAAAATCAACAAAATCAGAGATGAAAGGGGAAACATCACAACAGACACCTAAAAGATCCAGACCATTATAAGGGAATATTTTAAAAATATTCCCTACTAAATCTGAAAGTCTAAAAGAAATGGCTGGATATCTGAAATCATGGGAACCTCCAAAGTTAAACCAAGAAGAGATCAATAGTTTAAAAAGACCCATCACATCTAAGGAAATTGAAAC